CTTACATTTGACTGGAAGTTCTTTAATTTCACCAGATCTTAGTCTCCGAGTGGAGAGAAGGAATTTGTTAAGTCATGGAACTTCTCACAATTTACAATGGCTAATGACTACAGACTATATCCTGTGAATTTCTTAGGCAAGGAGTAAATTTTGGAGGCTGAAATGTTAGGAGCATTTGTTGCTCTTGCAAAGGACTTGGGTACGTTCCCAGTACCCAAAGGGCAGCTCACAACCATTTGTAAATCTAGACCCAGGGGATCTGGCGCCCTCTTCTGGCTTCTACCGGCCCTGCATGCACATGGTGAATAGGTATAAATGGAAGCAAAACATCGGCTGTACATTTCACTACAAAGTGAAAAATAAATATGTCTTTAAAAAAAATAGCGTAGTTGTAATGGATACGCCATCATGATTTAAAAAATAGTAAAATCATGAATTCTTATTCAAAAGAAATGTATTTTCTCCAGATTTTGTTAGTTCGTTTCTTTTTAAAACACTTTCCAAGTTGATAGAGATTGGGGGGGGACAGTCAACTCAAAAACATAGCTGTAATCTTAATTTTAATCAGATACTCTATGTTAATCACTATCAAAATCACGAGGTGCTCTGCTTTTCTTGATGTAGCGTGCTTCTCGGCTTGCTTCAGGTATCTTGTCCTTGGATCTCAGACATTGTCTAAAACAATGTCTAAAACATTTCAACAGACATTGTTGAAATGATGAGCAGCCTTCACCATAAGTTCTTTTTATGATTCACGGTTTCACTGGCCTTCTTCAGGCTCTTTCATTTTGCTCCAGCCTTAGGAGGAGTGGAGACTTGGTGACCAGGTTGCAATCACTACGCCCACAATTTTGAAGCAAGAAATCTTCCTAGACTTCCTTTCTGATGGAGTCCACCCAACTCTGCAGCAAGAGCACTGTGTGGTCATTGTTCTGAGAACAAGGTTTCTGGAACACCTTAGAGAGTCCTTACCTGCAGACCTCTGGTCTTAAGATGTTAAGAATCTCATCAACTAAACCTTTAAAAAATGTACTTTAGTTGTGTGTGCGTGTGTGTGTGTGTATGTGTGTGTGTGTGTATGTATGTGTGTGTGTGTGCACATGCATGCAGACACATGAGCACAGGTGTTCACAGAGGTCAGAGACATTAATGCCCCTTGATCTGGAATTACAGACTAGGACTGAACTTACGTCCTTTGCAAGAGCAGTATTAGTTCTTAACCTCTGAACCATCTCTCTAACCAACCCCAATACTTACCTAACCCCAACATCAAACAACAAATAAAAATGACTTCCTCTGCATCCAAACTAAGGCTTTGTTTGATCTATTGTTAAAAGAAGGATTTGGACTTGGGACAGAGAGTAGCAAATACTAATCCGTCTTAAAGAAAGTACCATGAAACGTTCTCCAGAAGCAACAGCACTTGTAAAAACCCATCTTTTGCTCACCAACAACCCTGTCAGCTGACTTTATTAGTGATGTTCCGTTTAGGAACGGTAATGCCTTAGTAGCTGGGAGCATCTGATATGTTCTTGTAGCTACACTAGGGGCACTGAACAGCCAAGGAGCTACAGAAGGAAGGCTTTCTTGAAAAAAAATGGCGCATGAACCGACTTAAAAAGAACTTTGGTTACAGGGAGATCAGACCTTGCAAAAAGTATAAATAAGTTTTCCATGGGTGAGCATCCATGACTCAGCCTTCTGACTGTACATAGAACATGTGTTTGACCATCAGGAAAACCATCAGGATAAAGTGAAATCGGTTTGTACCTGGCTCTGGGCAAGCAAGCCAACATCATCTCCAGAGAGCAGCTGTTGGAAACACTGGGATAATTGAATGGAGATTCTTTGTAGAGGGTGAGATACCATCCGGGAATGGACGATTAGCAATGCAAAGTGGTGGTTTGTAGTAACAGACCATAGCGTGTTGTACTGGAAGTATCGGAGGGCTACCCTAACCCTATGCATTTAACCAATCAGAACAGGAAACAGCCCAAGATGGTTGTTTGTAACATATTAGGAACTAGAAACAGTTTCTAAATCGCAGGTCTCAGTCAGCTCTGCTGCTAGCTGGGTGTTCATCTCCCTATTTGTTCCACCAGCCTGCCCAGGTGAAGGGTACTCAGCCTGCCTCAACCTGACTCTTGGAGCATCTCCCAGCACCCCAGGCCAGTGGGCAACCAGAGGCAGAAATTCAGACTCCCAGTGCCATACTTGAAAACTAAATTCAGTCTCGCAAATATTTAAGTAAGGACTCGAGGGCAGGTTCCCAGGCGGTACAGCTCAGAACAAATGACTCCCTGTACTCTGCTGTGAGCAGACTGTAGTTCTGTATGGCCTGAAAACCATGGAGTGTCTACAACAAAAAATATGACAGTAATCTGCTACCACTGTGACTGTTTCTTTAGTGGGTCTGTTCTTGTGACATGCCTGAACATCCTGAGGAAAGACCCAGAAAGGGCTGTGCAGGGTTGTTCTAAGCGGGCGAGAAGACTCGTGGCTCCTGCATGAACCCTCGCTAGAGGGTCACATCACTCACACGTTTGAAAACAGAAGAAGGCATTCTCTATAGAACATATGCGGAATCCCCACAGAGAACCTGGAAAGAAATAAAGAGAAAAAGGAAAAAAAAATCTGGCCCACAGATCTCAAGCAAAGAAATGCCGTGACGGGGAGACGTGTGAATGGAGGCTTGAGTATCGGGAAACAAGAGCTTTTTCTTTGGCCGTTAGCAAATCAGGACAGAGCCTCTGGTCCACTTGAGGCTATAGTCAGTGTAGCCTTGAAGTCACTGGAAGCAGAGGAATATGGAGGTCCCTTGTGTTGATTCTCACCCACAGTTTAGAGAAACTAGGACACAGAACAGTGTTACTACCGGTCAGCATTGTCCACATTGGAAACAGCCCAGAGTCCAAAGTCTCTAGTCACAAATCGGTGATGAGCACAGGATGGCATTGTAGGCACTCAAGAAAAAAAAGAAAGCTTGGACATTTTCGAAATCAGCACATACCAAAGTTTACAGGCGTCTGGCTCTAGAAGGTCTCCCTCCCAGAAATATATATTGATACGCTCTAGAAACTTAAAAAGTTAAATCTCTTCTCGTTTGTTGAACATCTCAGATGCTTGAGCGTGCTCTGTGATTTGAATCTCCAAGAAGGGTCAAGCTACATGCTGGTGAGGTAGGACCCAAGGATCCGGAGGCAGCTCGTGCTCTCAGGGGCTGGTGTGCAAAACCCAACACTTTGGTTCACACTTCAACATGTGCTGATCACAAACTGGCTACAACTTGAGTATTTCCACAGAACAAATGAATATATTTTCCTCCCATCTAGTTCCAGGCTTTGCTGGCTCCTCTACCATGCAGTTGAGTGCCTTTTTTTTTTTTTTGGACCCTTTTGCCTTTCAGGATTTCTGAGAAGCACATTTATAAATGGCTCTTATGGAAAGACCTGCAGAGGAAGGAACTGAAAGACAGGTGCCCGTCTCTAAACCTTCCCAGAAATATTAGCAGACACTTGAACTTCTTATTTAAGATTCTCCCCTTCAGATGCATTTAACAGTAGGACTTAGCACAGCCAGAAGACAAAGCCACAGATTGTGACAGGTCACTCTGAAAGGCTCACTGTAACCCCTGGAGATCTGTCTTTTATGGCAATGAGACATGCTGCATTTAGGGCCTTATGAGGTCCCCAGCAAATGTCTGCTGTGTGACTGAAAATACTAGGGGGACAGCTACACCTTAGACTTGTCTGTCCCATATGTCAACGTGTCACCTTGGGCAAATGCTAACCAGTGATGCAGTCTCATCATCAGTTCAGTGATGCACCGTTTGTGCTCCTGAAACTCGATGGAGCAGAGGACAGATGCCTGTAAGCCGTGGACAGCTTTCCGGGTATGTCCTGAGAGAATGTCACAGAGGCAGGAGTCCTGCACAGCAGGAGCAAATACTAGAAAATGTATGTGCCAGTGTACTCAGACCTTTCTGGAATACTGCAGGGGTTCGGGGGGGGGGGTATGTGTACCAGGCTTGGGAAGCATCAGAACCAGTCTGTGCCTGTCCAGAGCAGTCTTCACTATGCAGAGGTCAAAGCTGTCAGACCCTGGGGCATCGTATACCCTTGGCCATGAGTCCTTCCGAGCACTGGGAAAGGTTGGGGCCGCCATGTACTTCAGCAACTTCTTGTGATCAATGTTCTGCTCATGGAGATGAAGGGTCAGTCAGATAGGGATTCACACAGCCAGGCTGTACTGTACTGCACTGTACTTCCTCTTGGTTGGTCAGGATTTGTGTCACATGGCTTATGGCCCTAGGAGGAGATGTCATAAGACACATGGGCAGGCTCATTTCCTTTGTATAAAAAGTCACTAATAGATATTGAAAATGAAAGCTGGGCAGTGCTTCCATGAGCTGTTCATCTTGAGCCATGTCTAATTCAGGCTGTCGAGTGTCCGTGGCCTCAACAGTGCTAGGGGATTGCCAGGATTACGTCATCAAGTTTCTATGGCTACACTGATGCTATCTCCAGGTGATGCTGGGGCTTCTGTTTTTACTAAGATGGGTATTTTTCTTTAAAAATTAAGCTTATCTGATCATAGAGGAGAATCTAAAGTTTTGAGTACAAAAACAACTCACGCACCTTGATTGCTTGTCAGTAAAATGGGAATAGTAAAGTCCATCCTGGCACCACTAGGCTGGGATGAAAAACCCTTTTTTGTTATCTTGGTCAAAATTATCAGATGGATAATGGATGGGTGATGCTCCCAACAGAAAGTACATGAGGGCCTTTGTTAATCCAAAATGGACATCAACTGAATATCCTCTGCTCTCCTCTGGTTTCAAGGAAAGGAGAATTGCAAAGAACATTTAAAACACCGTTTTGACCATTCTTCACCCTCCGACTCTATTACCTGAGTGTCCCTTGAAAGAGCCACCTCCCTCGAGGCAACCTTTCATACTGGTTCCAGATGACTGACAATCCTATTGATGCCTTCCCCGACAGGTCGGTGGCCACACAATGTTACCCATCCGATGGATGCCTCCAGAGAGCATCATGTACAGGAAATTCACCACCGAGAGTGACGTCTGGAGCCTGGGGGTGGTGCTGTGGGAGATCTTCACCTATGGCAAGCAGCCCTGGTATCAGCTATCAAACAACGAGGTGGGTGATTGTTTGGGAGAGATCCCATCCTGCAATGCACGCACACACACTACACATACGGAGAGAGAGAGAGAGAGAGAGAGAGAGAGAGAGAGAGAGAGAGAGAGAGGGGAGGGGGAAGGGGGGAGAGAGAGGGGGGGGGAGAGAGAGGGAGGGAGGGAGGGAGGGAGAGAGAGAGCGCTGGGAAGCAGGACATGGTCACAGGTGGCTTCATTTGAGTCCACAGCTCTCCCCAGAGATTGACTGGAGAAAGAGAAGCGCTGTGTTTTCTGACCCGACCTCCCTCCTTCCAGTGACAGGACTGAGGAATGATTTTACATTGCTCGTCCAACAAATTAAGGGCAGCTTCAGCCGCTCACGCCCCTCGCTCCGGCAAGAGTCCCTGCGCCATTCCAGAGAAGTTACCCTGTCCTCCCCCTCTTCAGATTCTGCCAGAACATTAACTACTGGTGAAAAATCTCAAGCGTTTGTTTGCCTATTCCAATTCCTTTGAGAAATATAGTTACCTGTTGAAATCGTAGGGGATTGGGTCCAAGAGCCACCCCCGCCCCAGCCAAATTTAGAACACTCAGATTCCTAATACCGAATAATAATGTACGATCCACAGGCAGCCTGGGCATCTCCTTTCATGTGGGTCATCTCCATCTTGCTCACGGGAGCAGCACACACAAACGCAATGGGAAATACGAATAGCGCTCATGCGGTGTGTTTAGGAAGCAATGACAAGAGGAACATCTGCACATGCTCAGGACAGATGTCGTTTTCCTCACATATTTCCAGTCTGCTGCTGTTTGGGTGCACATCTGGAGCCCGTGGATACAGAGAGTCAGCAGTGCATCTGTGTTGAGACACAGCACCTCTGTCAAGTGTTTCTAGTCTCTCTCACATCCAATGCCCGTGTTGTTAAAGTCAGCTCTGATATCCAGTGAGCCTACTCACTTCGGCTGTCAGGGGGTCCCTGTCAGTCAGCACCTCACACAAAAGTAATTCAGGCTCTACCTTCAGCTGGCAAAACCTGAAACACATAAGACTTTTCTGTGTGGAATTTAGATAACCCTTTGTGAATACATTGTGCCTAAACCGGATTTGTGAAATCACATTGGTTCTCTTCCTTGTGAGAAAACAGTGAGAGTGCTTCCTCTGAGGCTGAGGCAAAAGAGTCATGAGTCCAAGGCCAATCTGGGCTACATAGCAAGATCACACCTATAAACAATAACCCTGTCTCTCTCACTAGAAGTCTGTAAGGGGGAGATCAGGTTGGGAACCTTGAGCTCCTCCCTCGTAACCTTTCATAAAAGTCCTTCTTAACTACAAGGGGATGATGGTTATCTCACTAGGAGACTGTATCAGCCCGTTGTCTGTTGGCAAACAGTTAAGGAGATGCACATGCTAACTGTCACGATTTAGTCAGCACACACCTGTGTCTGTATAAGCACAAACTATCCAGAGGTAAGCATCACAATCTGGCTTGACTTTTAAAGAGTTAGAGAAAGGAGAGGCCCTTTCTGGTTCCTCCACCCCGCGCCCCCGGGACGTTTCCCACGTGCTTGGCTTTTGCCCTGCTAATCCTGCCTCTCTGGTCTCCCTCCAGGTGATAGAATGCATCACCCAGGGCAGAGTCCTTCAGCGGCCTCGAACATGTCCCCAGGAAGTGTACGAGCTAATGCTGGGGTGCTGGCAGCGGGAGCCACACACGAGAAAGAATATCAAGAGCATCTACACCCTCCTTCAGAACTTAGCCAAGGCGTCTCCCGTCTACCTGGATATCCTAGGCTAGGCTCCGCCTCCTCCCCAGACCGTCCTCCCAAGACACTCCTCAGACTGGCCAACACGGTGAACCTCTTAACTGCCGCTGATGTCATGACCTTGCTGTCCTTCGCTCTGACAGTGTGAACAGGACCAGGAGCGGCTCTCGGGGGAGGCAGTGTGTACTTCTCCATCCACAGACAGTATTAACTCGCTTCTGGCGTTGTCTCTTCCTCTCCCTTTGGTTTGTTTCTTTCTCCTTTTATTTACTTATTTATTTATTTTTGGTCTTCACTGCTTCATGGTCCTCAGCTTCTCTCCTTGACCAATCTGGCTTCTGTATTCCTATAAACTGTACATAGACAAAGGCCTTAACAAACCTAATTTGTTATATCAGCAGACACTCCAGTTTGCCCACCACAACTAACAATGCCTTGTTGTAATCCTGCCTTTGACGTGGATGAAAAAAAGGGAAAAAAAATCAAACATCTGACTTAAGCCGTCACTTCCGATGTACAGACGTGGGGCGTTTCTATGGATTCACTTCTATTTATTATTTATTTACTATTTATTTATTTATATATTACTCTCCTTATTGTTTTCTGGTGGTTTTAGCCTGTGTATGAGAAGGAAAAGTTGTGTACAATCTGGCAAAACTTTATCTGTGGGAAATGAAAACCAGAGAGAGAAAGAGAAGCTTTACCATAAGTCACGGCACAAGCGAGACAGAGACAAGCCATGGAATCAGCCGGAGTCCGTCGTGCTTAAGAAAACCCAGCAACCATTAGCTGGAGGAGCGTGTCCGGCCACGCCCCCCGAGGACCTTTCAGCAACTATTAGCTGGAGGAGCGTGTCCGGCCACGCCCCCCGAGGACCTTTCTGAGGAGGACACAGGATGTTGAACTCCGCATCATGGGCAGAGTTTCCAATCTCAGATACTGGTCTGTAGTGGAAAGAAAAGACAGTTCCCATGGGACCCAGACAGCACATCCTACGTTCAGACATTGTGGTCGGGCACGGTGACAGAGTTGATGTGTTTCTCAAATGTTGTCTACCATGCTTTTGTCAAGTTCAATTGAAGGAGGTAGATTCGTGTTCAGATGCAATTTCAGGAAAACCCGAGTCCTTGACAAAGACAGGACGTACTCTCAATTTGGAGGCAAGTTTCTCTTACCTTGAACTTTCTCAGACAGCAATTCCCTCCAGCCCCCGCCCTCCACTCTCACCTGTCTTGTAACTGTGCAAACAAGAGTGTGCATGGTCGTTGTCAGTTGACACCTACGTGCACCTGTGTGCAGAAACCGCTGTTCCAGCTGTGAGGCCTGATTAGTGGGGCAGATCCATGAAAGGTCTAACTTAGGCAACTTCCGGGAAGGTAACCAGATCAGTAGCTAGAAGCGCTCTCCAGTAGGCAGTGAAGGGTTTACTGAGCAGGCATGTTGAAGCCTGGATGTCTTCACCCACCTGAAACCCACCGGGCTGCAGGACAGGCTCAGGCTGTCCCTGAGGGAAAGGGAAGCTCTGTGGGATACCACCTGAGTTTATATTCAGTGTGTTCAGATCAAGTTTCTTGCTCGGGGCTCTGTTTTCGGAGAGTGGTTTCATTCCAACGTACTCATTATCAGTATGGTGTTTTGTTAACTATACTCCATTAAAAAGTTTAAAAAAATTGATTAAGCCTTGACACTGTATGGCTAACGGGAGACTGTTTCCAAACTGAGCCTGGAGATTTGCATCCGTACATGGTCATTGGTTTTCCTAAAAGAGAGGGTAAATTTATATAGAAATTTACAGTTATTTGGGTAGTCATTTAGACCGAGGAAGACCAGCATTTCCATTTCTCTGCCCCCTCTGTGAGGGGAAGTTCGATAAACTTGACACCTTTATAACCCAAGCCAGATTGGAAGGGAGTGATTTAATTCACCTTAGAACATTTTATTTGGTGTTTATTTCTGAAGGTGCACGAGCTCCGTGTAGGTTGTTGCATTTGCGCCCGGTCATTTCTGGAGCACTGTGTTTTCTAGTAGAAACTCTGAGAGCTGATCTTCACAATAAAAACTTTAAAAAGCATGTAAATTGGCAAAAAGCAGAAGGAGATCCAGGAGGCCCCCTCTGCCAAGCTAGAGGTCGCACGAGGCAGATGCCATGGTCCTTTCTGTTGCGCTGTCCCATGAGAGATGGGAGCTATTTTGTCTTCTTCGTCCATTAAAACCACCCCCTCCAGAATACCTATAATAATTTAATGAAAGCCATATCTCTGTGATCTATACCGTCAGGTATAGCTCATTAAAGGACCCATGGTACTGTCAGGCACAGTGGAACCGCGAGGAGGCAGAAAGTCAAGAGAACATTTGTACACACCCCTCCAGCTCCCACCAGCCATGACCTGTGAACTCGCACAAGTCTGTCGCTCTGAGTCTGACCAGCTGCCCTGGGAGGAAAAGCTGCAAGATTCTCAGCCGAGATGATAGCATTGTCAGAGGCCAAGGTTGGGGAGGCCACACAGGTTTACACCAAAGGTCTGTACCGAGAATGTGAAAGCATTCCATTCCAGTTATTTCCCTCAGCAAGAAAAAGAAAGCAAAGAGAGAGGGAGAGGGAGGAAGAGGGAGAGAGAAGGGAGAGAAAGAGGGGAGAGAGAGAGAGAGAGTCCTTATACTTTTTGACAAGTCCCTGAAGGTCTCAAAATGAAAGTGTCTATGCAAGTGCAAATTTTTACAGTTATTTATACTAATTATTGTTATTAATTATTATTATTATTATTACTACTACTACCAGTCTCTCTGTTGTCTCAAGAATACATGCTGATTTCAGAGCATTAAAGAGTATCTGATTGCTTTTAAAGTAGCTGGGTGAGCCAAGGACACCTTAGAATAATTGTCATTATACATCTACTATCTCCTTTTTCGTGGTATTTTAAGTTTTAGAAAAGAAACACTCTTGTTCTAAATCGTATCCCTCTCCATATAGGACAAAAAAAAATGATGTTAGCAAACCAAAACCTCCCGCTGATCCCCGTCTGACATCCGATATCCGTTTCTCAGCTCCTTGATGATTTCTGAGAGAAATCATATGCTGCATATGTTGTCAAATTATTCATATATTTTTTTTTTTGGTGAGGGAATGGAGACCGAGAAGCTCAGAGGACAAACATGGGCTTCGCCCAAGTCTGTCCATCAGCTATGCTAACATACATATCTTTCCTGGAAGGAAACACGCTAGCAGCATGTCTGTGAAGCAGGGTGGGAGGTTAGAACAGAAGGAGACCCGTGCAGTGCATGCAGAAGAGATGTTACGTCATGTTCTTCTGCTTCTGGCTTCCGCTGACTCCTCATGTCGCACTCGGCATCATTTAGAAAACGCTTCAAGCAGTGCTCTCCAGGGTTCTGTCAGAACTCATGCACATGTGCTTACACCAGCCCCGTTTGTGATGTTTTTATGTACCTATATATATATATATATATACATATATACATAATATATGTTATAAACACTTGATTTATACATACACACACATGTAGTGTGTTTGTGTGTTTATGTATAAACAAATAGGCACACGGTAATAGAATAATTATAAGTAGGGTGCAATACGAATAATTTGCTTAATATTTGCTAAGTAACCAAAACTTTCCAACGTCACGTGGCAGTTAGTATTTCCGTTCTCAATGTGGGTTAGGACTATACCACACTTTCAGCTCTGTGCAGTCCTTGGATGGAAGACTGAAAAATCACATATTCCCCGAAACAACTGACTGAAAGCCATCCTCTCCATTGAGTTTGTTCTCTGCCTCTTTGCAAAGGAAAAATACAGACTAATGGTCTCCTTATGTCCAAGTCCAGAGGAGGAGAAGTGGGTTTTCTTTTCTTGCACGTTTGGATTGTGCTCACCTTTCCCGGCTCTACGCCCTTCACCCTGGACTCAGAGGCTGAGCATTCTAGACACAAACTGCAGTTCTGTAGGGAGGCGAGTGTCTTCAAGGCTGATGGCAAAACATCCAAGAATCTATAGCAAGACAGGCAACCCGAAGTTACCCCTCATCCACATGGCATGTAAGAGCCATGGCGTGCAGTGCTGTCCCTCTCATGAACTGGACAGGTGATTCCCTGGTCAAGGGCAGACTTTCCCTAATCCTCCCCTTTTGCAAATGGCACTGCCAGCAATACCTGGCATTAAGTCATGTCTAATTTCTAAAATGGCAGCGCAGACCCGTGTGCCCTCATTGCTTCGGCCCCACATCCCTCATCCACTATTAGAGGGCTTCAGTTTCCAAACTTGACTTTCCATCTGGCCCTGTATTGTGGTTAAAGGAAATCTCGTGAGAGGAATGGCTAATGACCCAAATCCCCAGATGTCCAAGTTTGCAGCGAAAGCCAATTCTTCCCAATGTATAAGCAGGACTTAGATACTCAGGCAGGTCATGATAGTTCAAACATGAATCTCAGACGTAACTGTAAAGAACTGAAGTGGGAGGGATTCATCGTTAAGCCAATAGTAGTGCAGGAAGGTGTGACTGTTGTCAGGGCTGGAATCCATCACTGCTGCTAAAGTCCAGGGTTCTCGACTCTTCTCAGCTGTTGCGGCCCTCACTTCTTTCCCTTCGGCGTTATTATTTATTTATTTATTTATTTATTTATTTATTTAACAACTTTCGGTCCATTCATCATAAACATGAAGCAAAAAAAAAAAGTTGCATATATGTAAATGTGTTGCAAGTGAAACACTGTGAATCTCACAACCACCTCCAAGGAACTATGCTGCCATCTTGACGGGCGTCTCAGGAGCCGAGACGGGAAAAGGTGAGGACGTCATTTTGCAGCCTACGCATTCTGGGCCAGGTCCATGTTCGTTTTATTTCTTGGGTCTGTGAGTTAAGAAAACGATCCGAGTGGAGGTTGACGGAATGTTCGGCAAGCTCGGTGACTCAGCACGGGCTCCTGGTAGCTATAGGTTGGAGCAGGAAGGAAAATCCATGGGAGATGGAGGAGGGAAATTTGAGGGAGGGGGAGGGGCTCTATCTTACAGCTCCTGTAGCTCCTGTAGCTTGCTGTTGCTTAAAATGTATACAACAGCTGG